GCGCACGGTGTCAAGTTTTGTAGTATATTAAAGAATTGAAAAGTGTCGAACCCACAGGGATTGATATTCGACTTCCACTGAGTACTATAATTATGTCCGCATTTACTTTATCTAGACAATCGAGTGTTAAATTAATGTTTGAATACTAAATTAACGTCAATGAATTAAATAGTGCAATAAAAGTGAGGCAATTTCTAAGGATTAAATCAAATTTACGTAATGTCTGGGGAATGATTTCACCATATTCTAGACATAATTCTAGGTTATATTGTTCTTAGATCACGCCTAAATTTCCCTCTCTCGTGCGTCAAATTTAGAGCATTAATTCATTCAATTGGTGATCAGGCAACTGAAAGCATTAAGCAAGAACAATACAAATTCAATTTTGGAAAATTAAATGGAAATACTATAAAGAAATTGAATCATGTCTCAAATAGGTTACATCAAACCCTAGATTTAATAACTTAGTTCATGATTGAGAAGAAGAAAATGATAAAATACAAATTAAATTGCATGAAGGAGAGAAAGATTAGAAAAAACTCAGGTTGATGCTCTAATCCTTAATCTTGTGGCTTGATTTCTCAGTTTCTCCCTTCTTCTTCTCCAAAATCGGGTCGATCTTCTCTCAATTGGTGCCTCTCTTTCTCTTGCCTCTTCAGCCGTCTAACCCCCTTCTCTTGTTCTTCAGCTGGTTATTTATATTTTCTAAGGGTCCTCAAGGGTTAGGGTATGACTTTTGGGCTGAAAAGATACTTAAAAACCCGGATTTTAATGTTTTGGAAACGGGCGCCGTGGTGCCCAGGTTTCTGTTGGAATTGCCTCTCTTTGGGACGCCATGGCGCCCCTTTTTCGGCGCCGTGGCTCCAATGCCACTGCTTTACTCCTCTTCTCTTTGTTTTTCCAAGCCTATTTTCCACTCCAATCTTATTCAATACTTGCTTATTCATGCTCCATTTCATTGATCATCATTTTTGCTTATCACTGGCTCCCAATAGTGGTATTTTCTTGAGAGTTGTCCAAACTGCAAAACAACACTAACACACACATCAAAACGTTCAAAAATGCTCAAGAACACATCAAAAAAACTTGATTTAGAAGCTTTAGTTTAATGAGTGAATTACACTCATCACTAGCCCATAGGACCTAAGCACCATCCTAAAGAATGGGTGAACGGACAGCCTAAGTCCGGCCCTAAGGATCGCCTCACTAATGGCCACACAGCCCGGCCTAGGATAGCAGGCTCTCTCTTCTGGCCCGGGGAGGATCAAATCTACGCTATCAGGGATCCTATACTCTATCCTAAGTCTCCCCAGGTCGGCTTCTCTTAATTTTGATGGGTAGTCCGACGCCCCCAATGCACAGAGGTATCTGCTGGACTATTCGGTCGTTTCCATATATTTTTCCCCTGCCATTATTGCCTCGGCTATTTCTGAGGAGGTCCCCTCAGTGGGCTCGTCCACCCTCACCAGTTCTAAACCCCTAGTATAGTATAGACCATTATTACGCTCCGATCTTATACGCCTCGGAACTCGCAGCACCACATATTCCGACCTGATAACGGCCCGTACGAAGTGTTTCCGAAGTGATATAGCGATTCCCACTACTGACCTGCCGAAGCACCTCGCTTCCGAGGTCGAGGTCAAGTGGATCCCGGTTAAAAGATCTGTCGCTAATTTCAGAAAGAGATTTGTGCCAAGATCCTTCCTGCACCTAGGGTTTAAATTGTTTTGACGTCTCCATGAGGCTAGTTAATGTGACTTATCAACTTTATGTCAATTCAACTCAGAAGAAAAACTGTCCGCCCACTCTACAGACGCGGCTGATTGACGCCTATGAGCGGACGCCTCATACCGTCAGATGTATACACGCGTCCCACATCCAACGGTTCATACCACCTATAAATACCCAAGGTTTGGTAAGAGGTAAAGGGAATGAAACTCTTATTACATAGCACTCCCTAGCAAGCTTATATATTTTCTCCTCCCCCTTTATCATTGATTTGCATGGCCCCTGGGTACTGTTCCGACCACTTAAACCTGACTTAACTGTCGGAGTGTATACGGCCGACACCACCCCTGCTGGTTCCGGCCATATGCGTCTGACTATTCGCTGATTGTACGCAGGGAGGAACACGTGGAGTAGCTTTCAGTTGGCCACGTGGAAGGACCAATTTTCGAGGTCAACAGCCATTTTTGCAATGTAAGGTTCTTCCTTTCTACAATACCATTTTTTGGAGATTTTAATAGAAGTTCCATGTTAACATGTTCTAATCTTTTATGTCATAACCCAATATTAACTTTCAAACTAGATAAAACATTTTTCATTACTTCAAATTCAATGTTTATGATATAAACATCTTTACTTCAGCTCCTGTAAACATAACCTCTTTAGATGTAGCATAATTAATAAGGCATTTAGAAAAATTAAATTTAGTATTGTAACATTTATCATATAATTGACTAATGCTTATCAAGTTATGTTTGAAGTTATCAACTAATAAAACATTTTCAATAGAAGGAGATGAGTGATTACCAATGTTTTCAATACCAATAATTTTTCTTTTAGCATTATCTCCATTTGAGCAACCACTATCCAAGAACCATTTACTATTTATTCTAAAGTATCTACAAGAATAATTCAATTTTTGATTTTTATTACTAAATCATGAATTTCAATCACTTAAATATAACTTTAAAAATAAAAAATATAGAATCTAATGAATAAAATTAAAAAAAATTCAAAATAGTAAATTCAAAATATAAAATCGATAAATTCTAAAAAAAAAAAGAAAAAAGAAAAAATAAAATTTTGAAGAAATAAAATCTAGAATTCTAAAAAGAGTAAATTCTAAAAAAACCTAAAGTTCTAAAAATAAAAAATAAAAATTTTGGAAAAATTACCAAAAATAATAAAAAATAATAACAGCTTAATATTTTTATGATTATTTACATAAAAATTCTAAAAAATATTTAATGAACACAAATAAAATTTTTTATTTTATTTTCTATATGTTGAATTCAATTATTATTTATTTTATCTTACTTTTGTAGCGAGAAAAAAATATTGTAAATTTCACCAACTTTAAATTGTCTATATTCCTTAATAATATATTAACATAAAAATTGCTCCGTTGAATGAATGAATAAAGCATGATTGCGAACTACACTAATTGTTCTGTTTTTACTGAATAATCAAATATTACAAAATTAAATATCATAAAATAACTTTTCAACTTTTTAAACAAACATGTATTTTAATTTTCTATTTTGAGAAATAATTTTTCAAAATGACAAACCAAACATATTTTAGGAATCTTAAAACGATCTCAAAACAAAAAGAAAATTGAAAATGATCTCAAAACTAAAAACTGAAACACAAACCAAATGAGCCATTATTCTTTAATGTTTGCGATTTGTGTGGAGTTATACTAGAAGATTATAAATTGTACTTTTTTACAGTATGAGAAATGTAAATGATGTTTGGGTATCTATTGCAGTTATTCTATAAATTTTATCTAGAGATGACAATAAAACCCACCAAACTTGATACTTGCAGGGCCCCGCCCTGAATGGGATGGGTATTACCTGCTTAATTGTGTATTTGTGATGCGTTTGGAACGGGGAATTCCACCCAAGACAGGTATGGATAACACCCGCCTTGCCCCATTAATTTTTTTTTAAAGAATTCAATACTTCAAATAAAAAATTCTACGAAATTTCATTAATTCTAATAGAATATGTCAAACTACGATTATCTAAGAAATATGATAAAAAATAAAAATCTTAGTTTACCAAACATATTCATATAATATAACTTTTAAAAATAAATAAATAAATAATTAATTAATAACTATATTATTGTCTTACTTTGATAAATGAGGATAATCAAATGAATTATTAAAAACTTAAAAAAGGTATATAAACGGGTAAAGGTCTTGCCCTGCCCTAAATGGGTATGGGGTGGAAAATGCCCGACGGGGTTTCCCCATCCTGCCCCGAACCTGCCCATAGTAATATTTGAACGCTCGTGAACCCCTTGTTTGATCCTTGTTATTTTTAAAATGTATTTTCCAACATTTTCTTATATTTTAACCATATATATTATCCATTAATTTGCTATTTTAAAATGCATTATTAGCTTTTTCATGGGGATCAAATATGCTCTAATTAAACTCAGCTAATTTTGAACTTACTTTTTTATTTATCCGCTTGGTGGAATTTAAAAATAATTTTTTAGTGAATTTAGATAAAAATTATTGAAAATCTGTGATTGAAATTTCATAAAAATATGTGATTAAGATTAGTTATTCACTTTGATTTAAATTTAAATTTAAATTCTTACCAAATAGAACTTAACCTGTAACGTAAATTATAGAACTCATAAACAAGTCTTTTAGCACACTTTTATTCACACATTTTGTTGGAGGCTGCAACTTAAATTATGGAACTCCTAAGCAAGCCCGACTAAAAAGTTTCCTTTTCGTAAAAATATGATGTAATTGAAGCACTCTTAGTCTTCGTTTCGCCCCCATTAAATTAAATCTTATTTTTCTCTTATATTTTAAATTACGCAATTTTACATAAAATAATATTACGTGTAAATAATTTTTTTTCCTTCTTTTCTAAATACTTGTTATTTGAAAAAATATTATTCCATCCATCTTAATTTGAAAAAAATGGAGGCCAAATAGGGGCTTAACGGAGGCAATTAATCTACTTATACAAAATTTAGAAATTAAGTATTGGTAAAATTTAGGCTATCGATTTGAAAAACTATTTTTTAAATAATTGATCCAAATATTGTCAATACATACGAAGTTGATCAATTTAGCCCCCCGTTTGTTTTTTATTTTTTGGAAGAACGAGAATAAAAAATATAGCTGTTACGGATTCTAATTTAATTTAGTGGCTCCATGTGATAGATAACAATAGTATATTTCATTTTAAAATGGAAATCAAAAGCTTAGTTTGTACAAAGATAATGATTCTACCAATAATTAGACAAGATCATCATCTAACGCGTGGGTAGTCAGAAAATGACTCTGCTTCTACGCCGCTCTCGAATCCAAATATCTGAATACAAAAAGGTTTAATCAAAAGGGCGATTCCAATTTCCAATGTCTCGTGACAATTACACTTGCTGCCTCTCAACTCAACTGTCTTATCACGCTGAAGATATTAATATAGAGCATGCTTCTCTGCATTTCATGCCCATTTCTCTTTCTTCATCTTAAATTAGCACTACGATTATGTTGATCACAAATATGGTACTGGGTTCTTCTCTTTTTACCAATTTCAATCCTTCTCGATTGCCACCAATTTTTGGGTAATTGATTCACTATTCTGCTTTAATTAAAGATTATACTGGTTTAGTTATATATTTTCCATTTTTTATAGATTTTTGTCTGTATATTTGCTTCACAGACTAAACTCACGTGAAAGAGCTTTATTTGCCAGGCAGAAATTAATCAGCAAAGTGAGCTGCCTTTTCCTTTTGTTTTGACTTTTTTGATGGTTCATGTTGAAATTGCTATGTGTTGGGTGATGATGATGTCATTTAAACTAACGGTATAGGTGGGACAAGCATCTGGTAGCAGTAACCGGAGAAATCTTAGTGTGTATGCTCGCCAAGCCCGAGAACAGAGCGTTACTGTAGAAGAGGTAGTTTTATTTATATACCCCGGTTCATGTGACTCTATATTGTCTTGAAAATTCTGGTGATATCATCGTTTCTCAGCTTTGGTTGTTGAAAAATTCTCAATTTTGGTCATTCTAATGGTTTGATTATTATATATACATTAGCATTCTATGCTAGTTGGAATTCTTTTTAAAATATGCATGATTCGAAAGATGTTTGATGATTAAAAAGAGATTTTGCAAGATGCAGTGTTGGCAGAACTGCATTGGCTGCCAATAGTGCGTTCATTGGGCATTGCCCAATGACAGGATGCCGTGTAGCTTTCTGTCATGCTGTATGTACTGATTTTCTGTACATACAGCAAAGTCCATTAAAAAGTTATCAAATTTGCCTAAAGAAAAGTGATATAGCGTCCATTTGTTAAAATAAGAGACATTCAAGATTGTACAAATTATGCTGGTTAATGCTCATGTCACACTATAAATTATGAGATTGGGTGATTGAACATGCACTAAGGATTGATTTGAAGAAACTTATGAATCCAATTTTCTTTTATGTTTGGGACATCCAATATGAAAGCCATTTACCAGCTTTTAATGTTGGCTGAAAAATGTAGATAATTATGTTTTTGCAGCTAATGTTTATTAATTTGGAAAAAAGCCATTGAGCGTGCTATGCTAGTCAATTTTATTGGGGTTATGCATCATAAAGCTAGCACAAGTATGAGGTCCAACAGGGATAATAGTACAGAATTTCCTATTAATTGATTTAAAGTTTTTACTTTTTCCTTAGTAATCAATGAATCATAAGTTATTGCTTTGGAAGAATACTATGTCGGCAATATGTGGTGTACGTATATACCTGTGTACATGCTCATCCATACATAGTCTGCACGTCGTCGTCAAAAATAAGAGAAAATGCTCAAAAAAAATTTCTGAAAGGTTTTCAAATTTTTTATTTTTTTTTTGAAGGTGAGAAAAAGTTCAAAAACTGATATGGAACACTCTAGGGAGAGGATCAATCTCATGTAAAATCAGTAGCAAACATTTTTCTCCAGATATTTCAAGCTCTAGCACGTGCAGAAACATATTTTGAAAGATCTGTTTCGTCATGTTGTGTGCATATAATATTACTCATCAGGAGGAAGCACTTGCTAGCTCTGTTCCTTGGTAACAAGCCACTAATACTCAACTGTTGAGGTCCCATAAGAGAAAAAGCTGTTAAACTTGATGGGAACTTACATTTCCTAGAAGAAAAAGGTACAAGGATTGGAGTAGTATCTTAACAATGAACATGTTAATTCTAGAATTATGCAGACTTCCAATCTTATGATTGTGTTGAAGTGAATAGGCATAATTTTATGGAACATTAAAGACTGCAATAATATCATTGTCAACTCTTTAGATACCGTTACAAAGAAATGGATCGAAGATGGAGAGTCACTTTTAAAATTATAAAGTTAAGTTTAGAAGAATTGTGCAAACAATTTCCTGGTGTAGTTACCATGTTTAATTGTAAAAGATTCTTTCTTCACACTGGTCAAAACCACAAGAAATAATGCTTACATAAAGAAGAGGGATACTCGACAAACCCAAAGGTTCTTAAACCAGCACTCAGTGTCAAGAAAGAAGCTTTCCTCCCTTCTAGCCTCCTTTCTGTTTCTTCAAACAGGGTGCAAAAGGAGCCGGCAGAAAATCTCACTCAAGTATCCTTATAAGGACCTGCTATGGAACCATTCTCAAATGGTCAGCTTGTGTGAAGCCATCTTACATTTTTTGATATCACTCCTATTTGGTGGTCAAAACCACAAGAAATAATGCTTACATAAAGAAGAGGGATACTCGACAAACCCAAAGGTTCTTAAACCAGCACTCAGTGTGAAGAAAGAAGCTTTCCTCCCTTCTAGCCTCCTTTCTGTTTCTTCAAACAGGGTGCAAAAGGAGCCGGCAGAAAATCTCACTAAGTATCCTTATATAAGGACCTGCTATGGAACCATTCTCGAATGGTCAGCTTGTGTGAAGCCATCTTACATTTTTTGATATCACTCCTATTTGAGATATTTGTGCCTTGATGTATTCCTTATCTGCTGTTTGGTTGGAATTGGTTCATTCTTGCTTTTACATGGTTTTTTGTCTGAGATTCACTCTAAAACTGTTCATGTACAGAAGAGGTCTAAAATTTCATATCTGGAGGAGGACTTATTCCTGGATGATAGATTGAATAAACAATGACGAAACGTTTCGATTTTTATTTAGCCTCTTAAATGCTTGCCTAAGAGTGGATTAACCAGGAGTCTTGGCCTTTTTAAGACCAAATACGTGCCCTATAAATTTTTTATGGGTCTAAGCAAAGGCATTTTTAGCCAGATTAAATTTATAATTTTATACAATCTTTAAATGGGAAGAAAATTTGATCATTATGAAAGAAAGGCCTTGGAAGAACTAATGGATGCGTATAATTCCTGGGGGAAGTTCAATGCAATTTACTAAAACCTGAATAGTGAATAATATAATTTTTCCCTGAATAGTCATAAATATCTTGACCTAATTATATGTAAGTAGCCAGCATATGTCTAATATCAAATATATTAGTTTTTCTGTTTTTCACACATTTCTTTCTGTCAATGGATAATAAATTGAATTCTTAGGTATCTTAATAATGTTTGTCAGTGTAGAACTGTCTTTTAGAATAGCGTCTCATTGCTTTAGAGTCTGATGCCCCTATGTTTTACCTGATTTATATGTGAACATATTAAAGTGCTTTTGTTTGGCCGATAGATTGGTACTCACCTTTTCTTTGTATACTTGTTCTTATTCTAGGAAGAAATTTCTCAAATGTTGGAAACTATGCCATCACTGAAAGTTTTCCCAGGTCAGGCACATCCATTAGGAGTATCCGAGGTTGAAGATGGTATCAATTTTGCAATTTTTTCCCAAAATGCCACTTCAGTAACACTTTGCTTGAGTCTTTCTGAGAGGTTGGAATCAAATTCTTATGATAGTCATGAGTAAAGAATCAATTTGCTTCACGAGACACATTTCCATTTTTACTGGTTATGTTTGTCTTCCTGCCTAATTCTACCATTTACAAATTTATAGTAAATAGACTTTACACTTCTTCTTCGTTGTCTATTTTTATTTTATTTTATTTCTTTCTTTTTCCTGAATAAGTTTTAAGTGATATTGGTTTCTGTATTTTGACTGAAGTATATCACAGTTTTTCTTTCTTCAGAAATCATATCATGATGGAAATAATCACATTATTTGAAATGTCATTTATTCCTTTATTTTTGGCGTTACAGTATATATCTTCATTGAATTACATACCATTGAAGTACTAGTTTTTGATTCGTTGATGTACCTTCAGGGAAGTGCATAACACACATCAAGAGATGATTGAATTAACACTGGATCCACAAGTGAATAAAACAGGAGACATATGGCACCTATGTGTTGAGGTAATATTGTTTTCTGTGCAATGATTTTATCTTTCAGTGCTTGTGAATGAATGAATTTGTATTATTACTTATCTCAGCCAATTCTTTGTGTGTGTTCTTTTCAATCTTGATTAAATATTTATCAGAACATAATTTTCTGTTCTGGACCATTTTGTGCGATATTTGATTAGATGTCTCTCCATATGCCCCTCACAATTGTCCTATCGGACATGTGACACAAGAAAACCTGAAGAAGAAAAACAAGTGCAATTGTTATCAACAAGTTGATGAATAGATGTAAGATTAGTTGATAATTTAGGAGATACTAAATCATTAAACAAATTTGGTGATATATTACCAACGACTGAGATAGGAAGAGTGTTATCATTGACGGTATGTGTGTGAAGAGGTCTAACACCAAGACTCTTCCTTTCTCATTTCCCCCCATTTAGATCTAGATCCTCTATAAGCGCGTTCAGTTACCAAGTCACTATTTAATCCAATGTTTAAAGTTGTTCTTTCTCTTGGAATCACGAATACAATACTGAATACTTCTGGTAGGTCAGTTTTTTATATAACTTCCTGATAAAACAAGAGAAAATCACATTTATAATGACTTTGATTTAATGTATATTTGGTTCTAATGTTAGTGGGTTTAGTTCTGAATCTTTTATTTATTTATTTATTTTTTATATCTATCTTTTAGTAGTGTTGGTGTTATGCATTTTTCTGTTTGCTTATCTATGTTGCAAATCGATATGGAATTTCTGTTGTAATAGGATTTACCTCGTAGAAATGTCCTCTATGGTTATCGCATCGATGGTCCACATGATTGGCATCAGGGACATCGCTTTGATAACGGCATGATTCTACTCGATCCTTATGCAAAGCTCATTGAAGGGCGCCGGATTTTTGGTGATGTCAGAGATAAGATGTCTCAATTTTTGGGGACTTATGATTTCGATAGCTTGCCATTTGACTGGGGAGAAAACTACATGCTTCCTAACATCCCTGAGGTAAATTAACTTGAATTGTTTAAGAGGCACTATCTTGACTTGTGCCATGTGAAATATTACTTACTTTTCTTGTCAAGCTACTGGTTTTTTGGATTATTTATGTTCCCATTTTGGAATACATCTGAAACCTCTACTTGTGGTGGGCGGAACCATTTAGAGATGAAGGTTGACAACTACTCCATTAATTAACAAGATATAGGCATAACATAGTTTTCTTGCCGTAAATGAAAATTTTTTTGACTTAGCAAATGGCTGCACACACTGAAAAAATGTATTGGAGTCGCCTTTGGTGGGCTGGGTGGGTGTGGGTGTATGCATATTTTATCTATGCTTAAAACAGCTGTTTATCAACATCAGATAATTGTTATCCCTATTTTTCGTGCAATTCGTTTTGATTTTTTTGTCCAATATCATTAAGTACTTCCATGCTATCTTTTAGCTATATAATTAAAACTTCTTGGGTGCTTTTCCTTCAGTTTTTACAGGTGTATTTTTAATTCTTGACCGTCGTATCTTTAATCCTGGTTTTGCAGAAAGATCTTGTTATATATGAAATGAANATTGCTTAATCATATACTATATTAAATAAATTTCCCAGTTACTGTATCATGACTTGACACTGTTACTTCTTTTTTGATATTACGTAATCACTCAGTATGTAAATAGGCAATCTATCAAAGTCATAGAACTCATTGACATGCCCACATTTTCTTTGATAATTATCTAAGATGAGCGTGAATTATATGTTATTTTGACTTAGTTTTCTGTTGAAAAATACACGTTACAAGAATCACACTTTGCACTCTTTGAATTTTTGGAATTTTGTAATGCAGCTTTCTAGAGATCTTGAACAATGTGGTTATAAAATTTAAAAACTGAGAATTCTTGTTTCACAAAAAAATGATCATTCTGTTGATATTCATTTTCTCAAAGAATATGTGAAATAGTTAATAAAACATGGTCTGCATTGGCCGCATATGTTTACCAACTTTTTAAGTTGGACCAGAAGTGAAGTTGCGTAAGCTTTTGGTATCGTAAGGAATCTTGTATTGGTCATCCTCCTTGGACTTTGCAGTTTAGCCTTTTTGTAGTCACATTGTTTTCAGTACTTACAATCTTTTTAGATACAAAGCTTCTCAATGAAGCAAAGAAAAACCTTTCACAGCCCCCTTGTCTTCCCCCTTCCCCCTCTCCTCCGCCAATTAAAGGAGTGCTGTGGTGTACAAAGAAAAGAATTTGTTATTCACTTGTTTTCTTTTATTATGAGGGACAAGTATAGGCATGTTTATTGTTTCACTCATGATCTCCCAAATTTATTAATTCCTAGTGATTGGGAAAGAAACCTGGAGGAGTCTTAACCAGAAGCAAACTTTTATATAGTCTTTACTGACCAAGTTTCCATAAGTTAGCTCACTTTCCACGTCTCTTTACTTTTTCCTTTACTATCGTTCTCAAATTTTAAAACACCAGTTACATTTTTGGTTTCTTGTAGGTGTTTTCTGTGTTTCACTAATATGTCACTTGTTAATAACCATATGATCAATGAGTTTTTGTCGTTGTGCCATCCCGTTAGTGAAACTCGCATCCTATTTACTGAACTATCTCATCTAAAAATTTAAGCTATCTGACATGAGACAAACTTATTTATCTATATTATGTCTTAAGCACACCCCTCACTTGCATTCAAGGGGTTGAGATGTTCAAAATTTCTCTGATTGGGTAAAGGGTAATCCAAATTAGGATATTTGCTTACTTTAATACCATATTGAATTGTCTCATATAAAACTTTAAGCCGCTTGAGAGTAGACAAACTTATTTACTTAGTCTTCAACATTATCTTTACAACCTAATAACCCACACTGCTTATCATCTGTTAGAAATACAATCATTTACAACTTATGTGTCTGTCTTGCTTTTTCTCATCTTCTGATATCAAATCATCCACTTTCACGACTTCACATTACATCCTTTCTCCCCACTGCAAAATCTCAACTTAGATATTCCCTAACGTTGAATCTTTTTAGAGGTTCTTAAATTCCAATTAGCATGATATGGGACTTTGAAAATGAAAAGAATTTATAAAATTTACACGATCAATAATAAAAAATAAGATAGAGAATTATGCATTTTTGTGAACCAAATCATGCAAGATAATAAAGCGCTATGAAATGGGGTCAAAATAATAGCCTTCATGTTTCTTAGCCTTAATTGGTTATGTATATAATTTTTCCAATTAAAGAATATGGTCCTTGATTAATTGCTAATCCTATATTATCGATTGCAATAACAACATGAAATAGAGTGCAAAAGCAAAAGCAAAAGCAAAAGCAATGTAGTATACTAGACTCGTAGAAATTTGTTCCCAAGTTGTAAGAATTATTACGAAGTGGAATATGAGATAATTTCACCACTTAATTAACTCTTAAACTATTTGCAGGTTTATTACATCGTAGATTTAGATAACAATGCCCAGTTGCTGAACTTCTCGGGATGTGGTATTTTCTGGATCACCTTTCTACTCTTCTTTATTGGTACTAGTCACGAGAGTGTTACGAGTCATTAGCATTTGTTCTAAATCCATAAGAAATTGCATTTAATGAAAACTATCTTCAACTTTCTTTTTGTGTATCACCATTTTTTTTTTTTTTAATTATCTGGATTTGATACTTCTGTGGAACTCTTTTGATACGTGGTATAAATTTTGAGAATACTACTATTCATCACTGGCTTTGATGATCACCAATCTAGGTGATGACCCCTTGATACATTGGTCAGTGCATTAAAATGCATCAGAAGGACAATGAATCAGGGCCTACTGCCACCTAGATTGGTAGTCATTACAATCGGTGATGAATAACATCACTCAAAATTTGAACTCTAAATATCTGATCTGGCCCATTAAATGTGATTAAAAGACTGAGAGGGAAATAGAGGTTGTTCCCAATGCTTTACCATGAACTAATTCTGGTTTTATACTGTAAGTGTCAAACAATTGTCATGCTACGTGGTATAAAGTCCTTTTTTAGTGTTTAATCTCCCATCATTATTATGAGGTATATATATAGTTCCTCATATGCAAATTTGCACCAATATCCAGGAAATACATTGAATTGTAACCATCCCGTTGTTATGGAACTGATACTTGACAGCTTGAGGCACTGGTACATTCTAATCCTTTTAATCTTTGGTTATATATTTCTCATGGCTATGCAGGGTATTCTTTTCTAATAAACTGAACGAAAGACATGCATGTCATCAAAATTATTCACTTGCTTTTGTCCTCAAGCTGTAATAAATTTTATCGTCCCAGTTTCCCTCATGAAAATCACAGCATGGGAGTCTCTGCATGTTGATCAAGTCTCGCCACCACCTAATTATGGATCTTGTGCATGCTTCAGGATTTGAATGGAAAGGATGAACCCGGCATACATGTGATGGGGCATCTGAAAGACAATATTTAAATGATATACATGTTGTTCTCTCTAAGAACTTAAGTCCTTAGATAAATTGGTTAACACACCTTTGACATACTCGTGCATTTGTCCAAGTATTTATTAAAATATGATAATTTAAATTAGTTAATTGATTGGTGATCCATCATTTATTGATGGTTAAATGGGCAGATATTAAAATTTGATCATATGAAATATTTTAATTGATCGCTGATTCATCATTTATGGGTGGTCAAATGGAGGTTCCCCCTACAAACCACTCGAGCTAAAATTGACTATTTTTCCTTTGTAGTGTGAACTATCTATCATGCGCTTCATTCTCTTATTTGGTTTTTAAGTGGTAGGAACATAAGTGAAATTTTACGGATTGCTAGCTATTAATTTGTTTGTCCCTGAATTACATTTTTGTTTCATCATATGGTTGTGCATAAAATTTTATTTCCTGATGAATATTTACTTACACTCTTTCATAGAGATTCATTTGATGTTCTGTGCAATGCTTTGACTTGTATATATTTTTTTGCATTCATTTTATTAAATATATATCTCTTTCCTGAATTGCTGCCTTTTCTATTAAAATGACTGAAGGGTCCTTGAGTATCACGTGGACGGGTTCCGCTTTGATCTTGCCAGTGTTCTTTGTCGAGGAACTGATGGTTCTCCTCTCAGTGCTCCCCCACTGATTAGGGTAAGTCATGGCATATATTTGACCTGATGTTCTTTCATATGATCACTGGATAATATCATTGCAAAATAACGGAGCAATAAGTACACGTGTTTTTTGTTCTTGTTTAATATTAGATGATAAGAAATGCTTATCATTTTTCAATATGTCCTATTTCCTTATTTATTT